CCCTCACAGATGCTGCCAGACCTGCTGAGCTTTTCCAGCAACTTTGTTTTTGTTCGTAAGCTAAAGTTACGTTTTGTGGGATGTCCACAGCACTCTTCCCATTGATCAAAGATTGTAAATACTGGACACAAGCTAAGATCATATTGTTGCAAAGAAACCAAGAGTGCTCTCCACATTGGTCAATAATTACATATATTTGGTTAGAAGTTGTTAGTTACATTAACAAAGGTGCACATACATGGGCTGTATGTTGCAAAAGATGATTGTAAAAGAAATATGACATGAGGAGAACATTACGGGGTCTTTGCATTTGCTAAGGGATCACATACATCATAGAACTCTTGCTAGGGTATTTGTTGGAACAGAGAGTTAGGAGTTAGTGATAGGGCAGATTAGGTTAAGTAATTCGCATTTGCATAGGATATTTTCAATCAATGGTTAATTGTCCTGGTTTGGGGTTTTTATAAGAACCAGAAATGACTAAAGTAGTTTTCAAGGTTAAGGATTACCATAAGAAGCCAGGTAAAGATTAGCATTTGAATCACGTATTAGGGCTAAAGTAAGAGATAACAAGGTGTAGAGCTGGATGAACACTGCAGGCCAAGCAGCATCAGAGGAGCAGGAAAGCTGACGTTTCGGGTCTGGACCCTTCTTCAGAAATATGTTATCTCAGATTCTCCAGCATTGGCAGTTCCCACTACCTCTTAGGGCTAAAGTAATTGTTTTAGAAGGAAGTAAATGGTCTTTTATTGGAAAACTGATTCCACTGGAGGTGGGGAGACAGGAAGAGTGAGAGACAGAAAATGATCCCATTAGAGTTGAAGTCTCAAAGCTGCAAGTGATTTATATGTATGTTTGTGTTATATTAATCAAGTTAAAATCTCAAAGGACATTGTAACTCAAGAGAACAGATTCTAGTAAGTAAGTTGAAAAGTCCCAGAAGTCCTGCGATCCTTGAGAAAGACAGATTGACATCTGTCAAAAAATTGCATTCTAAATTAGTGATTGCTCTTTTTGCTAACAAGTTGATACCTTGGCAAGAATATTTTTACTCTGATATTTAATGTATAATCCAAATTGCTACAATGTAGTTGAGATAAATCACCCTTTGTGACTATTTTCGTTTAATACATGGGTATTAGTTCTGATGTCTCAACCAACATTTACCCCTCTGTCAACACCACCAAAACACATCATCTGGTCGTTATCACATTGCCCTTCATGGGAACTTACGATGCTCAAATTGGTCGCCACATATTTTGCACAACAACATGTGCTTTAAAACAAAAACTTTATTGACTGTAAAACACTTCCTGGATCCACCATGGTCACATCTGTGGTCTACTGAAAGAAGTAACTAATTCTGCAACATAGATCCACAGGGACTGGCAGGCCCTTGGTACTTTTCTTTCTAGATAGAATCATGTGGCTTGGAAACAGACCCTCCAGTCCAAATAGTCCACATCGATCGAATTTCCCAAACTAAACTAGTTCCCCTTTCCTGCTTTTGGTTCATATCCCTCTCGACCTTTCCTATTCATGCACTTATTCAAACGTCTTTTAAATGTTGTAATTGTATCTGCATCTAACACTTCCTCTGGCAGTTCATTCCATACATGAAGCACCCACTGTGTGAAAAAGTTGCCCCTCAGGTCCCTTTTAAATCTTTCTCCTCGCAGCTTAAAAATATAACCCCTAGTTTTGAACTCCCCCACCCTGGGAAAAAGACCTTTGCTTTTCAACTTATCTATGCCTCTCATGATTTTTACAAACCTCTACAAGGTCACCTCTCAATCTCCTCCGCTTCAATAGCCTATCCTTAAAACTCAAACCCTCCAGATGAGCATGTATGAAACAAGTCATAATTTATTTTCTAGCAAAAGTACAATGTAGCAGTTTTGTTTCAAGCTTTGCAACTTTGATCAAATGTTGGAATAAAGTACTGAAATTTTGACAGCCTTTATATTAACAATTGAAGGCAGCGCACCTGCATTTCATTGTAAAATTAAAATGGAATCCCTGCATTCCTTTACAAAGAACATTCCTTAACATTTTTTATTACATATAAATGAGGAAAAGGAAAAACAAAATGTTGTGAATGCTGCAAGTCTGAAACCAGAAGATATTGAAAGTACTGAACAGACCTGAAGGTGTGTGTGTGGAGAGTGATGTGTTTTGTAATTTTCTATATATTAGTTTACATAATACATAGCACAGAGTTTTTTGTTGAGACAGATGCATTTAAGTGTATTTGTAACACTAATTATTTACATGGCTACAATATCACACTGGGTGTACATTTAATCTGGATTGAGTGATTATTGTACGTTACATATGCATAGCTGACTGACTGAAGACATGTCATTGAATCCATGATACAGAAAATGCCTTGTATTGGGGCAGTGGAACACCACACGTTGTGATGTACTTTAAAGATACAGGCCTGTCACTGGAAGTTATGCCATAATGCGACAGAGAGAGAGGCAGAGTTAATGTTTCAGGTCGATGACATTTCATCAGGAAGGTCGCAGACCTGTTTCTCTTGACAGGTGCTGCCAGACCCGCAAAGTGCTTTCAGTATTTTCTGCTTTATCACAGATGGAAGATACCAAACTCATAAGATGAATGCCATGTTAAATAGTGCAAAACGGGATCCGAAAGCATTTCCCCTCTTTGAGATCAGGAGTGTTACAATGTGAATAAACTGTAATCACAATCTCTTTCACTGTCTCACATCAGTGTCTTTTATTTTTTCCAGAGCATTCAACATTAAGAAGTTTTTTTACTTTAACGTGAAGAATGATAGAAGTGTAGAAGTCTATTTCCCATGCAAGCAATTGTTCACTGAATAATTTTAAATCTGAAACTGATGGACAATGGCATTGAGGGCTATGGAATAAAGTTGAGAAGCTTCAGAATAATAATCAGCCACAATCTCTGAACGAGAGAACAGGCTCATTGGCATAATTGTGTTCTCATGTTCTGTATCACAATGTGGCTAACATAGAGATTAGATAACACAGAACATTTTTGGATTGTAACACAAGAATCTTCTTTATCTACGTACCTCAGTGTCACATGTGAAGTATTTAATTGAGTTCTTACCTTGGAGATTATTATTTTAAATTGTTGCAAGTTTTCAACCAGGCACAGATTAATCATAAGGTAGTGGAACAGTTGGGCACATTGATAAGATCATAAATAAAATTAATATTGTTTTAAGCACTAACTTTTTAATTATTTGCTGATACCTTTGTCAGATCATGACTAAATATATATAATATAACTTTTCATATAAGAACATGAGAAATAGGACCTATAGTAAAACTACCTGAGCCTTTGAGCATGCTCCACCATTCAACAAGATCATAGCTGATCTTCTGTCTCAACAACACTACTTCTGCAACGTTATGTTATTCCTTAATTCATTTGGTACGCATAATTCTATCAACTTCTGTCTTGAATGTACTCACTGACTGAGCATCCACAGCTCTCAGGGGCTGGGAATTCCAAAGACTCACAATGATATGAGTGAGAACATTTCTCCTTATTTCAGTCCCAAATATTCAAACCACTTTTCTGAGCCTGTTACCCTACGTTCGAGGTTCCCAGGCAGGATAAATATTTTCTCAGTATCTACTCTGGTAAGCACCTTAAGAATTTCAAGGATAGCATCCCAATTTTCTAAACTTCAGGAAATGTAGCCAGTTTAATCAATCTCTCTTCATGAAGGTAGTCCTCTATCTGCACAATTTACTTACCAAGTGGAAAGGTTTTATAATGGTTAAGTGAAAGAACATCAGTGTCCAGCCACCAAAAGAAGTGGAGCAGATTAATTCGAACTTAGGATGCAAGAGTACATAGCAAGGCCTGCATATATTTCCCACACTCAATTGCTCTTGAGATGTTGGTGATGGTGACGAGTTATCTTCTTAAATGAATGCAGTCCATATGATGTAGATATACCCATAATGATGTAATATAGGGAGTGCCAGGATTCTGATCCAGCAATGATGAACAGATCATGGCTCCAATTAAGAATAGTACATGGCTTGGAGGGGAATTTCGAGGTGGTGCGCCTAGTGTCCTTCTTCTCCTTAATGGAAGAGGTCATGGATTTGGAAGCTGTTGTGAAATGAGCCACAGTGGGTTGGGTTTGCTCCAGTGCATCTGGAACGTTGCACCAGTGGCAAGGCATTGAATGTTTAAGATGGTGAACGGGGTGTAAATCAAGCATTTAGCCTGGGCGGTGGTGAGTTCTTGAGTGTTGTTGGACCCGCACTCATCCAGTCAACTGGAAAGTATTCCATCATATTCCTAATTTGTGCTTTGTAGATGGTGGGCAGGTTTGGGGAGTGAGGAGGTGACTTACTAACCACAGAAACCTCAGTTTCTAACACTTTTTAAAAAAACTTCTGTTATTCCTTTATGAGATGTGGGTGTTGATGGCAAGGCCAACATTTGTTGTCCTAATTGCTCTTCAATTGGCAACAAATGTTAGCTTTGTTACTAATGCGCTGACCTCACCAAAATTCTGAGGCTGTATTCCGAAGACTTTTGCAAGTGGAAGAATGTTAGCCATTTAAAAAAAAACAGAAAATTTTCAATTAAGAAAGGAAATGAATGCTTGATGGGATCAGTACTTCGATAGTTAACAAGAAACTTCTTGTCTTCCAGAACTTTCCTTCATATGCTTAGATATAGAACTTTACATTCTTGGCAGCAAATGATATAATAAATGATACAAATGATAAAATTTCAATTTCAGTTTGGTTTTATGGTGCATTTCAATAAAAATGTATGACATCTACTCACCATCAAATTCTGCTTGTCCAACTCCAACAATAATAATTGACATAGGAAGCTTAGCAGCCTATATAATGAGAAAAATGTAACAAATTTAGTGATGTCATGTTATCTATGGAGGGACATGTTAAAGGACATACATGTAATAGATTTTAATTGCTCAGGTATTTTCAATTCTGCTTTTGTAATGCTTGCATACTGGCTGATAGTGACATTAAAGAATTGTCTTGAAATCGCAGAAGAGATTTATACTAAGTTAGAGGAAGATCAAAAGATTGAATTGTTTGGTATGTGATTTCCACATGAATCAGAAATGGTTAGTAATTGATTGAGTGCAGGAAACATCACCCCGTTTGAATATATCATGGGAACATGGTCAGAAGGTAAAGCAAGACCTGGTAGGACACAAACTGGAGGCTGGGTCTCTTAACAGTCCATGTAATGTAGATCATATTCATGTAAATTGTAAATATTTGTGGTAATGCAATAAGCTTCATTTCATTCGTGAAACAAGATTCTTCTATTCAGACCAGTAGGGTGGCTATTTTCATCTTTGGTAGTCTGCTTCAGGCTTGATGGAATCCACACACACAACATGACTGTTCCCTGGGTCTTTGATATTCCGTGAACTTAGCTTCAAACACTGTGTTTTGCTCCAGGGTCATTGTCATGACTTTTTCTCACGATCAATTTTACACAATGAAATACTCAGTCATACCGTCACTGTACCACAGTCTATAAGATTTTAAAAAGATATTCCTATGATTAAAATCATGAAAGATTTATAAATAATAAATAAAGAGAGACTGCTGATGAAACTAGAAGACACAGATTTCAGATGATTGGCAATGGAAGGGGAGGGGAGAGGGGGCATAAGGGATAACATTCTTATACAACAATGGTTGGATGCACTGCTCAACAGAATAATGATTCAATAGTAGTCTTCAGAAAGGGAATTGATAAATACTTGAAGAAATATTGGAGGGTGTGCGGAAATAATAGGACTGTGGGACTTCCGGTATTGCCCTTTGAAACAGCTAGCACTCTACTCGTTTAGCCACACAATAGGTTTCTGTATATAGGTAGGATTTAGAGATGAGGCACAACTGTAAGCAAGGGATAACTTAAAACTAAATACATATGAAAAGTAAATCATCCACTGGACCAGAGGCACTTAACTGTGCTTTTGAGTTTTAAAGACAACTTCACAAGAGATTGATTTCCCTTTTACAAACAAAACTTCCAAACATGTAGGGAGTAATTTTCAACTTACCACTGGAGCATTGAACTAGCACTGTAGACCAGATGCTTATTATTGAATCTGCCCAACTGCTCTTCCGTTTGAGATCAATACAAAGGAAGAGTCAGACTGTTTCTATAGTGAGCGTCCAACTCATTTTCTGCTCCAGAGATAAGTTGAAAATTACCCCCGTAGTTTGTTAATGAGATCAAGTATCACTGGGTAGAGTACACTGTTATTTTCCTACTAGTGTGAAACTGTTTCAGTACAAAATATACCAGCAGAATGACAGAGTTAAATCAATAATTTCACTCCAAAATGAGACTCAAGCTATAAATGATAACAGGGCTGCTTGAATCTGGCACTCACCTCTGATGTGAATTAACTAAGATCATCCAAAGAGTCCCTTGGACTCCATGGGACTTGCATATTCTTAACTAATTGCAGTGCAAAAACTAACCTCCTGGAAATTGTACCTCCATGTCTTATAACTTACACAGAGCTTCTCCAGCATTGACCTCAGAGCAAGGTACTGCCAACAATATAATGTGAATCTGCAAACTGAATATTGTGACATGTGACCACAGTTTTGATCCAGTAGCTGGTAAATAAGTGCATTCTTTGTGTTGTTTTGCTTCATCTATTCTAAAAATTTTGCGTGTCCTACTTTGGAAAGAGGTTGGATAACCGAACACTTCTTACCTCTGCAGTTAGTCCCACTGGTATCTCACATGTGATACAGTATCAAATCAGATGACTACATTGCAATTGGTTTAAAGAACTAATTGGAAAGTTAAGCAGAAGGGCATACTGAAAGAGCCTCAGAAATTATATGGATTAAGACCAAGACAAGTTGAATGCAAGCAAACGTGTTAGGCCATTAGTAAAATCAAGTTAACACTGAATCTTATTGATATACTTTCCACAAGCAATGTTCAATATTGAATTATTAAGGACTACTCAAACAATTAACATAATGAAAATAAGTTAATGTGTTTCTACATTTTACTAACTTTGGGTTTTCTTTGTGTGTCATTTTTTCACTTATCCTGCAGAAATGTAGTAGTTTGACATTCTCCAAAGGTACCATGATTAATATAATTTAATGATATATTTGGTAAAATCAAGCCCTCTTATCAACTTTGGAGATGTTCTTTCCATGAGTCCCTAACAGGTTTTCTCACACAATTTTACACAGCTCACCTAATTATGTATGTATCACATTTCCAGGGCACAATCATTCTCACACCATCTTGCACTTGCCAGCATTAGAAATAATCACCACTGCCAGAATCCTCAAGGATTTATTTATTTATATGTCAGTGACATATTTAAAACTCAATTGTATGCAAAGTTAATTGCTGCAACCCAGGAACTGCCCTTCACCATTGCAGTGTTGGAGGAATTTCCCTAGAGACAGCTAACAGAGGCAGGTTGACACCCAGAGGTCCTTGTGGACTCAGTGGTGCAGAGGATGGCCATTCTCTTTCCTCAGGATTGTCAGAGGAGACTATGGCACCAGACCCTGCCAGCCTGGTCAAAGGTTGCCACCCAGGTTAGTGCAGTTATCATGGGTCTGGAGGAATGCTCAGCATTTCAGGAAGAAAGTTAATGGCTTTATCCATTATCTTCTCTTTACTATCCCACAGACACTCCAACTCTGCTATGGCACCCTCCTCCCAACTAGACTCCAAGTCTACTGTTTTCACTAATGCATGCAGCATCTTCCCTCACCTGCTTTCACCTACCAAAGCCTCCACACCATCTCCCCAAGCACCAAGTTCTTTCAGTTCTTTACTGTAGACACAGGGCAATTGGCATAATTGTGCAATCTCTCAGTCATCAATTGTTTGAGGCGATAGTTTACAGAGCTGGTGGGAGAGAATAGCTAGGCATCTTCCAAGTTTGACAGTGTTCCCACAGTCTCTGCTCACCTCCGCAGGAGCCAATCAGGGAGTCGTTGTCAAGGTGGTGACTTCTAGCCTTCACAACTGGTCCTGACTGCACAAACCAAACATCAAACTGGGTGAAGGAGGTACCACTTCCAGATGGTTAGTATGTTGTGACATCTTAGACATCTTCCCCCATTGCTTGAACAAAGCAGCAATGTAAATACAACTCACAATGAGCTTAAGTAACTTGTTTTTAGAAGTGTAGAAACTCCTTGCAGTTTATTTGGTTTATAGAAGTATCCTTTTCCCATTTCAATGCAAAATCCAAAAGAAAGAAAACTAAAACAATGTGATCTTCACATCACTGTACTATATGTAGACATCATGCATTAACCTACTGAACAAATCTTGACTATGTCATTCAACATTACAAATTAATCCACTAATGGCTATGAAGCATGTGTCACATGGGCTGAAACAAAAACATCTTTAGTTGCCATATTAGCAATCATGTTCCATAACCTGCCTAAGGTGCAGGAGCTGCTGGTCTCACACCTTGAGCTATGAATGTCCATGCGTTACTGCCTTTCATTGGTAGAGTAGAGTTTGTGGTGAGGGAGAGGTCCTCATTATTGATGCTGCATGTACAATTTGCTATGTATGTGGGCAAAAAGTTTTAACAACGTATGTCTGATGAGAAAGAGGCAGCTGTACCATACTTTGTTCAGAGATGGAGATTAAAATGCCATGTCATGCTGTCCAGGTATCTGTAATGCAATACTTCTTTTACTGGGGCTAATGATGGCCATAAGATGGCCCCTCCACATCCATGTGGGTCATGTCTGAGGACTTATGCTGGCACTGTCCAGCCAGAGGACGTGCTTAGTTAATGGAATCTCTGCTCTGAACAAATGGAAGACCTGCTGATGGACAACGAGGATCCAAGGGAGCTGCATCTCAAGTAACAGTGCATCTTCTCAAGTGACTGTGACAGTGATAGCAACTGTCTTTCACCTATACTGTGTGAGTGTCTGTTTAATGCTACCGGAACGTGCCCCAAGATATTGGAGACAGCTATCCAAGATGGAGCCCTGGAGAGACAAGCAGCAAACTGGAACCACCAGGTACTCGAACTGATTATCACACCAGGAAGTGTCACTGCCTAGTTTCTCTTCGCCATATTTGAGAATAGGAAATTGCATTAAAATGAAGCAACATTATGTACTAATGAGATATAAATACATGCAAACGGGCTGCTCACTGTTCATTAGTGAGATTCTCATCTAACTGTTCAAACCTTGGTTAGAGTATCAGATTTTTTTTTGACACTGTGAGTCTCATTTTTTGAATCTTGTTATGGTCTTGGAAAATTCAGCCCATAGAATTTAAATCAGTTGTAATAACATGTCTTCAAAATGTTGGTAACCTTTTGCATCCTGGAGGAAAAGCAATCACAAGTACATTGTTGATAATGTTAGCTTAAGGATTAGAGATTGAACAGCTCTTAAAAATAGAAGGGGTAATTTTGAATTTGTATAGTACTGCTAAATTGGCAAACTTCAATTTAATAAAAATATACAGAAATGTAAATAAGGGCTGCCAATTTGTTATCAGCTGTTTCGTGCATGATTACACACAAGCTCTTTACAAAAGAGATAGGGTCCGTTCTTTAAATCTCTAAGTTCAAATCATTATAAGAAATAAAATGCATCATCCAATGGTATGAAGATATAGAAATACAGAGTAAATAACATTGCGGCAAGTAACTTTACAAAGCAGGCTTGCTTGTTAAAAGAAACAGTCAATTATTCACTTGCACTGTCAAGTCACTCAGCAGATCTCCTTTTAGTTTCACACCATTAAAAGCACTTTTCTCAGAGCCAGTACAATTTTTGATCCTGAGCTCATGTCAAAATTGTCAGATTTGGAATTGAT